TCAACTAAAAAAGTATTTTCCTTTAAAAAGCACTTGATGGCTCGGCGCCTGTGGCTCAAGCGGCTAAGGCGCCAGCCACATACACCTAAGGTGGTGGGTTCGAATCCCCAGCCCAGGCCCGCCAAACAATGATGGCTGCAACCAAAAAATGGCCGGGCGTTGTGGCGGGTGCCTGTAGTCCCAGCTACTTGGGAGGCTGAGGCAGGAGACTCGCTTGAGCCCAGGAGTTGAAGGTTGCTGTGAGTGTGATGCCATGGCACTCTACCCAGGGGGATAGCTTGAGGCTCCATCTCAAAAAAAAAAAAGCACTTGATGGCTCAGCACCTGTAGTTCAGCAGTTAGGGCGCCAGCCACATACACCAGGGTTGGTGGGTTCACGTCCAACCTAGGCCCACCAAAAAACTACAACAGAAAAATATCTGGGTGTTGTGGCAGGCGCCTGTAGTCCCAGTTACTTGGGAGGCTGAGATAAGAGAATTGCTTAAGCCTGAGAGTTTGAGGTTGCTGTGAGCTATGATGTCCCGGCACTCTACTGAGGGTGACATGATGAAACTATGTTTCTAAAAAAATAAAAAGCACTTGATATTCCACACAGTGCTCAAACAAAGTGTTAAGTCCAATCATGGCTATGATTTTCTTGGCTATTGTGTGTGGATGTCATTTATACCAAAGCCCCCACACTGTGCCAGTCCTCCTCACCCTTTCTTTTTCCCAGGCCAGACAGACACCTCTGGCCACTATCTGAGCAGGGTCCTTTCTTCACCAGCCCGCAGAGGCAGATGTAAAGGGCCCCCCACACCATGTTGGGGTCCTGGCCTCCTCTTGAGAGCTCCCCAGTCCCACCCCAGGACCTGTCACTGTTCTCTGTTCCCCCCAAAGTCCCCAGGGCTCTTGCCGCTTATCCTGCAGATAGAAGGCTAGCCAGAGCCTCCCTACTACCAGCTTTGTCTTCTTTCCCAGCCTCATCAGCAGCTGACATCCTGTGTTTCACATTCTCCTGCCTTTCCTTCTCTGAAGGCAGGCCTGTATGTTTTCCATGCACCTGAAAATGGTGTCTGGCATGCAGAGGACACTTGCAAAGCTGTGGGGTAAGTAATAAACTTCTTTTTCCTTAAAACCTAGAATGACGGACAGGCACTATGGCTCATGCCTGTAATCCTGGCTCTCTGGGAAGCCAAGACAGGTAGATCACCTGAGCTCAGGAGTTTGAGACCAGCATGAATGAGCAAGAGTGATATCCCATCTCTACTAAAAATAGAGAGACTAGCGGGGCATTATGGAGGGTGCCTGTAGTCGTGGCTACTCAGGAGGCTGAGGCAAGAGGATCATTTGAGCCTAAGAGTTGGAGGTTGCTGTAAGTCATAATGTCCTGGTACTCTACTGAGGGTACAAAACAAGACCATCTCAAAAACGAACAAACAAACAAATAAATACTCTAGAGTGAAAAAAGATGTCACTGGATTCTCAGGAGCTGAATGAGATCTACACAGCACAGTCATGGGCCCTCTGCAAACACTTGCAGGCTCTGAACAGAGAAATGCTTTTTCAGGTTTGTGTCTACTGCTGCTGTCACCAACTACGATGCCTCACTCCCATGCTTCCTGGACTGCCAGTCTGTTAAAATAAGAACGAAGTCACTCATTCCCATGTATAGATATAGCAACCTAACACAGTTTCAAAGGTGGTTTGACAGTGACAATCCAGCACCTTAACTGACATGAAGTTTATTTGATCTGCAGAGGGCAGAGGCCTGCTGTCCACACCACACTGCAGCTTTTGCTCACACTTGTGGGAGGTCACTGGTTCCTCCAGCTGAGCCCTGTGCCTGCACCTGAGAGCCACCCAAGACAGAGCTGGGCAGACCATCTGGCAGCTCTAGAGCTCTATGCCTGTAGATGTGCTGCCTCTCCCCTGGGTATGGGCCCACTCCTATTCTCATTCAACGCTGGGTCAGAGAAACAAACAAGACCAGCAGGGGCTTTTTTCCCTGCACACACTGGAAAGCCCTGCAGTGTAACTCTGGCTAAACCTGAGTCATGCGCCCATGTCGAGGGCCGATCACTGTGTTTGCATATTGGGCCCACGGGGCTGCAAGAGGCACAGGGCACAGGTGGTCCCCACAACTCATTGTCTGAGCATAGAACAGAAAGAACATGCAAAGCCACCCCCATTACTCCGTCCTTTCTGTCAAGCACTGTTTTGGTGATGGCAGCATGCTGGGCAGTGTGCACTGGCCTCAACTCTCCATTACAGGAGACCTGGTGCTGCCTTTTAGAAGGAGCCAGATGGCCTTGCTGGCCAAGGTACCCCTAGTTTCCACTTCTCTGGGCAGTCACTAGAAGAGTTCCCTTCACCCTTGAACTCAAATAAGGTTTCTTGCATTACAAAAACTAGGAAGCAAAGACTTAATGTGGTGCAGAGACCTGGCCCAACTCTCATACTTATTGTCCACAGGGGGTCAAGGTGGCCCTAAGGCCTGGCTTATACCACAAAGTTACATTCGCCCCATGCCTAGCACCCTCCTATGACCACCTGGCAGCACCTACACTGACAACCCACACAAGAGTCCCCAGGAAAATGCCAGCCTTCACTCCTAAGGGAACATACTATTTCTATCTCTATCCACCCCATCCAAAGGCCTCATTTCACTTCTTTCCAGTGCTCCTCATTCTGGAGAATGTCAAAAGGCTCCAAATCTTGGTCTTTGCTCCTTCTAACCACCCCTTAAGCCACTACCCCACTGCCAAGCCAAGGCCAATCAGTGCCAGCCAGCATAATTGCCTCCTGGGCATCATGATTGCCCCTACCCCACATATCCTCTGTAGCTTTCTAGAGAGCAAGTCCACTCACCCTCTCCAGTAAGCAGCCTTCCGCCTGGCATATGCCTGCTCAGGTTCTGCTCCTAAAGGCCCAGCCAAAGGGCCTATCCTCAGGCACAGCCTGATTCCAACCAGGTGGATGCCCTTCCCACACTGCCACAGCAGCTAAAGCTGGACATCCAATAATCCTTTCCCTTAAGACCAGGCTTCCAGGAGGGCTGAGATTATGCACCCTGCTCATCTGCATCCCAGCCTGCCCTTGGCTAGCTGGCATGGGGCAGGGTGTAGCCACTGATCTGTCACTAACAGTTAAAGGCCACTTCTAGTAACATACCCTGCAACAACTCAGTCAGTCCTTTCTTAAACATTAAGCAACGTGTCCTAGGGCATTTGCCCAGGAGGAACCACTCAACAAGCAGGGAAAGGCTTCAGTAGCATTGTGTACATTTGGGCCACCAGACTGTTGGTTCTCCTGGCATCCCAGCCCTAAGACACTGGGGGTGTGGGACCCCAGAGATCCCTCTCCCCATCACCAACCCTTGCACCCTCCCTCACCCTACCTTACTCCTATAGCTATTTTACCAAATACAAAATTAAGAGACCAGCCAGGCACAAAAGTCTGTAACCAGCATTTTTTTTTTTTTTTGAGACAGAGCCTCAAGCTAATCCCCTGGGTAGAGTGCCATGGCATCACAACTCACAGCAACCTCCAGCTCCTGGGCTCAAGCGAGTCTCTTGCCTCCACCTCCGAAGTAGCTGGGACCACAGGCGCCCTCCACAATGCCTGGCTATTTTTTTGTTACAGCCATCATTGTTGTTTGGTGGGCCTGGGCTGGATTTGAACCCACCACCTTAGGTGTATGTGGCTGGCACCTGAGCCACAGGCGCCCACCCCTGTAATCAGCATTTTAGTTGGGAGGTGGAGGTGAGGAATGCTTGAGGTTAGGATGTCTTATTGTAGATAGCACAATAAGACATCTCTATAAAAATTTGTTTTTTGAGACAGAGCCTCAAGCTATTGCCCTGGATAGAGTGCCGTGGTATTGTGGCATCACAGCCCACAGCAACCTCCAACTCCCGGGCTCAAGTGAGTCTCCTGCCTCCGCCTCCCAAGTAACTGGGACTACAGACACCCGCCACAACACCTGGCTATTTTTTGGTTACAGCCGTCATTGTTTGGTGGGCTGGACTGGATTCAAACCTGCCAGTTCAGGTGTATGTGGCTGGCGCCTCAGCCACTTGAGCTACAGGCACTGAGCCTCTATAAAAAATTAGCCAGGTGTGGTGTAGACACCCAGTAGTACTAGCTACTCAGGAGACTGAGGCAAGAGAATCACTTGAGTCTACGAGTTTGAGGCTGCTGTGAGGTATGATGCCATGGCACTCTAACTAGAGCCACAGGATAAGACTGTCTCAAAAAAGAAAAAAAAATACAAAAGAACTACTCTACAATGTTAGAATAGCTAAATCAAAATTTCTCCCCGAGTATGAGAGAAGAAAAACAACCCAGAGATATTCTTTTTTTTTTTTTTTGAGACAGAGCCTCAAGCTGTCCCCCTGGGTAGAGTGCCGTGGCATTACAGCTCACAGCAACCTCCAACTCCTGGGCTCTAGCGAGTCTCCTGCCTCCGCCTCCCAAGTAGCTGGGACCACAGGCGCCCGCCACAGCGCCCGGCTATTTTTTGGTTCCAGCCATCATTGTTGTTTGGCGGGCCCGGGCTGGGGATTCGAACCCGCCACCTTAGGTGTACGTGGCTGGCGCCTTAGCCGGTTGAGCTATAGGCGCCGAGCCAACCCAGAGATATTCTGATCCTGAGAGACTGCAAGACAGTGCAGAGTGTAGCCTGCCCCTCCCCCGTCCCCTCACCTTTTGGTGCAGGCAAAGCGAACAGGCAGCTCCTGGCAAAGGGCCACTGCTGCCCTGGTGTCCTCCCACCTAGAGTCAGAGAGTAGGCATTAGGAATTAGGTAGGAAAGGGGACAAAAAAATGGTAGCCATGGTCCTCTGTAGCACCACTGACTGATTCCAACCCCATGTTAGTGCCAGGTGCCTAATGCCACAAATGGGACTACTCTTGACACCCTCCCCACCTCTATACGTCCCCTCCACTTCCCTCCTGCCTGGACAGAGAGCAAACTTCTGGCCAGGCAACAACTCCAACAGTGAGACGAATCAAAACAGTTCCAGTTCTACACACATTTCTATTTTATTATGGAAAAGGTGAAAACGCCACCTTCTCCACAACAGCAACCAGTAAAATTTATCCCAAAAATAACTCGGTACAAAACAGGTCTGTTTCAGAATTTAAAAAAAAAAAAAAAAAAAAAAAAAGGAAAAAAACCTTTACATGAGTTTTTAAATCCTATTTTAAAACATAAAAGAAACAAATCCATCATTGGCCACACAGCCCCAGTCACCACCCACCCCCCAACCAGGGAAGCACGATGAGACGCCTGGGTCCTGTTCCACGCATGGATTTGCTGGTCTGTTTAACTGGTGTCCATCTGAAACACAGAGAAAAGAGGCTCTTGCTCAAAGGTCCTGCTCCCCCCAACTCTGCTCTGGTTGATACCAGCTGGGCTGTTCCCTCCCCTTTTCCCAGGCCAGGACTCACTCTGGCATTATAGGCATCCAGCTGGGCATCCAGCTCTTCTGCAGAAAGCTGTTGTTTTGAGTTTCTGCCGGTGCCTCTGCCTCTTCCCCGGGTGCCTCCACGGGTGCCTCTCCGGGTGCCACCACCAAAACCTCCAGAACCACGGTTTCTAGTCATGCCACCTCTGTTTACACTAGTGAGGAAAATAGGGTTGTTTGTATACCTGGGAAGGCCCAGGATGATGGGGCCACACCACAGGCCACCACCCGCAACCCCCCAGAGGTCCCATAAATCACCTCTGTGTGGGTCTCCGCTGTGTATCAATCTGTGATGTAACAAGCTGGATGTTCATAGGACGGCCTGTGGCAAAGGATACAAGAGACACATTCCAATCAAAGGTTCTGAAATCGACCCAGGTGGCACCACACCCTGGTCTCCATGCAAACTCTGGAAAGGGCCTTTGCACGTCTCAAATGCCCCCGACAAGGGAAATGGCCTAGAGATACTGGTGGGAGAACAAAATGGCAATGACAACAACCCCAACACCTCCTCACTCCTTCTCAGTCCAGGCTAGGTGGGCTGTTTGGTCAGGTGTCCAGGGTGCTCATGGGTGGACAGGTGTGGGTGACCTGACGAAGAAGAACCGGTACCTTTGTCTTTACGACTACAGCCCCGCACTCAGAGGTGTACTATGGCGGTTCTGAGAAGGCTTCACAGAAGTGAGTCTTCCGGAAGGAGCTGAAGGAGGGGAGGGATGTAGCTTGCTGGATGGGGGTTCACAAGAGGTTGGTCCAGATGTGTGGGGCAGCATGAGAGGTGGCAGAATGGAAGAGAGAGACAAAGGGGCAAATGCAAAGTGTCCTCAGCCAGGGGCTGGGCCATTTCCCTACACGGGCAGGTGCCGGCCCAAACGCCACAGCCCCACAGTCAGCCTGGTTTCACCCCCAGACTCACCATCCAAAGGGACACCATTGTACTGCTTCATCGCCTTCAAGGCATCTGCCTTCCGCTCAAAGTGCACATCTGCCGTTCCTAAACTGCGGCCAGAGCGATCGTAGTGCACAGCTGCCTTCTTCAGCGTTCCAAACTCCGCAAAGAGTTCCTGGGAGTCAGAAAGACCAGTTATTAGCAAAGCAACAAAGCTTATTTTGCTTCTGGAGGCCCAGGGACAGTCCCTGGGAGTGTGAGCTGCTTTGGGGTGTTTCCCTGGGAAACAGGGCAATGGTAAGGGGAATTGAGGGAAGGGACTCGGGCAGGAGGAACAGCAACTTCCAAGAGCACCTGGGTCTCAGGGCTTGTGCTGTCTGTACCATGATGCAGGTAAAGGAAGTCGCAAATGGCACAAATTAAGTCACTATCCTCTTAAACAAAGGAAAATTTACAATACACCCAAGGGCTGTTCCAAGAAACAGCAACGGCCATGATCGAGACGAAGGGAAGCTGCCCAATAGACAGACCAGAGCAGCTAGAAGGGCCCGCTGACTCAGGAGCCCTGACCCCAGGCCCTCCCCCAAAGGCAGATTCTGGCTCACCTTTCCCTCTCCTCCTACTCAAGCCTGCCGCAAAGTCTGAAGTCAAGCGCTGCCATGGAAACTGCCCTGACCTCAGGCAGGCTGGGAGTTGGAGAGGGAACCCAGAGTGTGGGGCTACTCCGGCCGCAGGCACACAGCGGGAAGTGGAGTTCACCAAAAGCGGTTTCCAGTGGATGCCAGAAACCACCTTAAAAAAAGTGTTGAGACACTGTGAGTGCTCACTGGCCCTCCTCTGTCCTCCCAAGGCAAAGCCAAATGGCTAGGCTCTGGGGAATTGAACCCAGGAAAGCCCAGCACCCTGACCCAGCCATATCCAAGACTGATACCCAAAAAGTCACTTCTTTACCAGAAAACAAATTTAAATGCCTTTGGGGTCCAAAAAATGGGGGGGGAAAAGGCTCAACAAAAGGTGATTTGAAATTCATGCCACTGACAAGAAAGATATGAGAGGCATGGAATGATAAGACCACAGGGCACAAGGTCTAAGACGCAGTGCTTATGGCAAACACAAGCACACGAACTCTGTCGCCTACATTAGGAAGATGGTTTTCCTCATATTAGCTTGCCTAAAATAGGCACAAAATCAAAAAGCAAGTGACCCAGCTCTAACAATAACACACAGGAACCGTCGCCTGTGACTAACCTCTGTCCCTGTGAGAAACTGGAAGCCCTTGCAGAGGATTTCCACTCACAAAACACATCTTTCAGAGAGCAGTAGCTCCACAGGCAACACCAGGTCCGCCCCAGCGGGCCTCTGCCTTACATAGCACCTCAGGGGGGACAGTGCTAACCCTGATGCAGCGGGGGAGGGCTCCCTTTTCTCAGGCGAGAGGGATTCAGCGCCGAGTCCCAAACCACACGATCACTCTGTGCAGGGTGAACAGCTCGCTGAGAAGGCCCCTGCCCTTACCTGAATATCAGCATCCGACACTCCAAAATCCAGATTTGACACCAGGAGTTTCCCACCAGTCTCCACACCGGCACCACCCCCGAAGCCACTGTCGAAAAGATCGTGCTGCCACTTGTCGGGAAGTTGTTTTGGCTGAAGAAAAAAAAATGGCAAGAAAAAAAACAGACCAATGAATCTCAGTCCAAGGTTCTCCGTGCGCTCACGACTCCCCCAAACCCTCCCTCGTTGAGGCCTGGAGAACCGCGCGGAAAAGCCCCCAGCCCCCGCCCCGCGCTGCAGTCGCCCCAGCCCGAGGCCCGACGGTCCCACCACGGCCGCGAAACTTCTCAGTTCCCTTCGACTAACTTCCCGCCCGGTGCGGCCGCGCCCAGCGTTCCCACCGCTGCCGCCGCCATGAGGCCCCGGCGCGGAGACCACACAAAGAGTCAGGAAGGGTCTCCGCCTCCCAGGCCCGGCCCCGGCAGCACCATTTCGCCCCCGCCCACCACCCGCTCGGCGCCGGCTAGC